GGAAGGCATGGAAGGCAACCTTGGCGTAGACCAGCGACAACGTTGAAAGATTCGTCTCGATGCCATTTACCCTGATGAAGTATCTGCCGTGAAAATATAGTTACTGGTTCGCTGGTAGAAATTGGCCGTCGACCCAATACGTTGTCAGGCGCGCCAACAGCTTGCTGCACGGTATTCGACGATAGGCTTTCCTCAGACACATAAAGCACATGTAAGCCTCATGAACGAACTTATACGATTTCTCAACAATCTGGCGTAAGGCGAAGATCTGGTCGCAGTTGCTTCGGATACCTTTGCGTAGATTTTACCCTAAAGTAAAGAGGCTCAGCAAGATAATGCCTTGATAATTGGAGCTGTCTTTATACTCTCCCTTTCTGAACAAGGGTACTATAACTCTAGTTATCGAGTTAAATAATGCCTTCTCCGCTGTCAATGCAGTTTTACGGACACACGTTGGCCACAACGCGATTTGTTCGCCTAAGACATTAAGCATTTCAGGGCAGATTTCATAGATTCAAGCATCACCGCCGTTATTGAAGCCTTTTGCAGATTCAGTAATTTTCTCCACTGAAATATTAGTATCCATGGCCTGCTGTTCTTCAGGCGATTCTTCCTGGTTTACTCAGGGTTACCCCTGCTCTCTATATCGCTGAAGATGCCATTATTCTTGGAAATAGTGCGCCTGAACTCTCACATTAAGATTCTTAGAATGCCCTTCTCGCCATCTCGGCAATGGTGCATGGTGTGCCAATATTCCATAATAGAAATTCGATTCCAGCATCTCAACGAACTTTCCCAGGAATCGGTTTTCTTTTCGGCTACTGTTTTCGCTGTCATCATTGTGGTTTCTACTTGAAGGCTTTTTTCCCAAGTCATCTCATGAATGCAGTTTTATTCTCGCTGACAGCCGTTTAAATCACTGGTGCTCATCAGGAAGTTCGTCCTTGCGTCAGACCAAATCGCTTTAAATCGAACCAGTCAACGACAGCCTTGAGTAAACCACTTTGAGGATCTTCCAGAAAGATGTCCACTTTTGGAGTCGTTACATCCGAATCGGTTGCAACCGTAGCAGGATGTTGTTTGCAGGTTTCGTCTTCGTATTCGCGGAAAATAATATTTCCTATTTCATTGATTGGCTGCTTCTGCCACAATGTTTTTGCATGGTACCCCTTCTTTTACAGGGATGCTACCCCAACATCAAGGTGACGATAAGTTGACAGTTTTGCGTACCTCTTGACGATAGAATCCATTACCGAACGGCGTAAGTCAGATGATACGGCTATCCATTCCATCATTGACTTCGGAACACAGATTTCCTTTCAGCAGGTATACTGATGTACATTTCGATGCTCGAAAAATGTATTCATAGCGGACAGTACGTTGCTCGCACAAAACCGAAACAACCCCAAGGCCATATCGTAGAGGTCACTGTCACCGTTATTTCCAACTACGCCTTTGCGCTCTTCAGTGCCTGCTACATGCTTTTCGATTGATATCGCCCATTTGAATGACGGATTTCGTAGCCGGCACTTCGTGCAGACCACTTTCCGCTTCCTCCAAGAAGAACTCATATTCTTCCTGTAAACAGGACGCATAGACTTGTAAAAAAGTCAAAGCTTGAACCTCTTGCCACTCTTCCATTGACAAACTTGCAGCCAATGATTCTGTTAGCCAGGGTAGATTTTACCAGAATTTCAGCACCAGCGTTGGGGGGGGCATCGTGGAATCGACACCTGAGTTTAATGGTTTTCACCTGCGGAAGTTCGGAATTCCGGAGTGCCGGCGCTTTGGCTTCATCAGCTAGTTCATGTTGCTTCCGCCTGAGCGAACAGACCTGGGAATTTCCAATTTGATTGCTTCCACTGTCAGTATCGTTCTCGTGGAACTTTATTCGATTTGTTAGAATGGCTTCGCTCGGGGTGACTGCTACTGTTTCGTCCAAGAAAGGACGGCGACTCCGCTGCTAACTGGCATCGTCGTTTTCTTTTTGTAAAT